AATGTATATATATGTATAAACACATAAAATAGACCTCCAATTCCCAAGTGAGTCAAGCTGTGGATGCAAAATAACATTTCCACAGTGACACAGCCTGCTCACCATCCCTGACACCCTTATGTGTGGGGCGCAGTACCCTGAGAACAGGATTGAAAGGGAGCTCTCAAACATTCATATTTCATTATGTAATTGTAATTAGATAAATATCATATTTATATTTAATATTTAAAGAACAAACTGTTGATGTTAATGTACGTACTGTACGAGAGCAACAACGATTTGTTTGTGGAGGTGACGCCGTCACAGCCCAAGACTTTTGTCTTGACACTGAACAAAACTGGGATCAATTAATATTTCTCCTGATAAAAATTTAAAAATGGTGCTTTGTGACGGTTTGGACTTGGCTCCCTGCCAAGTGCCCGAAAGTTACGACAGCAGCCCCCTTTCCCCCTCCTTTCTGCCCTTAGGTTAAAGGAAAAGGAACTATAAAAATTAAAGAACCCACAGTCAAGCTGCTTATGTAAAAATATATCTATATTTACGTAAATTACAGTTATGTACAGTTAAGATGCTATTGGCTACTTCCTTGGTTACAAACTGGTCACCAGGAAGGCCTAGACTAAAACCATCACATTCTCTTTATTTCATACTATTTTTACGTAACACTTATATTTTGCGTTCACTTATATTTTGCGTACATATACACATATACATATTCGTATATAGTCCTTGTTCATTCTTTAGAGTACTCATTTTGTTGTAGAAGAATTAGTGTTAGCATTAGGATTAGTTTGGTTTTTATTCTTGGTCTTTAGGTTACAATCACAGTTCTGGTTTTCAGGGTTTGTCTTTTGGTTTGGGCTGGTTTATTACTGGATACTGGCATTAACTGTTCAGGCCTTTTTCATCTGGTGACTGGTTTCTTGCAAAACACAATTTACAGTACATGATTAGTTTTTTTCCAAGGTTAAATTTTTTGGGGTACGCAGTGGATTTTTTCCATTTTTTTTAATTACTCACTAGGTATTTTTGGGCCCTTGAGCGAAAACAATTTCACGAATGGGTTTGTCTTGGTCTGAGGAAGGAGTAATTCAAACAGCCTTTTTTAACATATTTTTTAGATGGATTGCTGGAATTTTGTTTTTATCTACAGTGTGGAGGGATTTTGCTTGGGCAGGACTAGCTCGATTGACAGAGTTTCTAGTGTTAATAAGTCAGGTGGCTTTGGCTAAGTGCTTGTGTCAGTTCTTGAAAGTTCTCTCACTTAGTGTTTTTAGAGTTGTTTTTAACAGTCTGTTATACTTTTTAACTTTCCCAGCAGCGGGTGTATGATATGGAATGTGATATACTTATTCAATATCATGCTCCCGTGTCTAAGTGGCCGCCAGATTATTTTTGAAATGAGTTCTGTTGTTTGATTCAATTTGGTTTGGAGTGTCATGTTTCCACAGGACTTGTTTTTCAAGACTTAGAATGGTATTTTGGGCTGTTGCATGTGGCATTGAATATGTTTCTAACTATTTAGTAGTCGTTCCTACCATGGTAAGCACACAGTGTTTACCTTGGTGGGTTTGTGGCAATGTGATATAATCAATTTGCCATGCTTCTTCGTATTTATACTTGTCTTAGTGTTCACTACATTACAGGGGCTTTAATCTTTTGGCTTGTTTAATGGCAGCACAGGTTTTACAGTCATGAATAATTTGGGAAATAGTATTCATGGTTATATTCACCTTTCGGTTTCGTGTTTATCTATAGGCGGCATTTCGGCCCTGATGGCCTGAAGCATCATGGGCTCATTGAGTTAGGAACAATTTTTTTTTTTTGCTGCCAGTTTAGGTCTACTTGTGACACTTGGACTTGTGCAGCGTGGTTTGTCTGTCTGTTATGAGCATGTTTTTCATTAGTTCCATTTTTGGGCACATGGGTATTTACGTGGCGGATTTTTACATTCAGTTTTTTTGCTCTGGCAGCGACGTTTTGCCATAAATCGGTAGCTCAGATGGGGTTTTTTTTACGTCTTCAATTTATTTTCTTTTATTTGTTTAGTTATTCCCATAGGGTATTGGTCATTATCTACGAATTGGTGTAGAGGTAGAGCTTTGGTCATTTTTTTTTTTTCTGCAATGTCTAGGGCTAATTGGACAGTTTTGAGTTCTGCAAACTGACTTGATTCACTTTTACTTTTAGTGGTTTCTGCCACCTGTCGGGTGGGACTTCACACAGCTGTTTCTTTAATGAAAAATACACTTCTATAAAACTTCTTTTAATTGGGTGCTTGTAGATAATGTCACTGCGGATACAAGTAACCACTCTAATGTTTGTGTCTGTAATTCTGTTAACATCACAAAATGCAATTGGAATTATTACCAATTTTGGGAATCTAATTATATTCTAATTCAGGAGTTACAGCCTACCCCCATGAGTATGAATTTCATGCTGCTAAAAGAGGCTGTTGCAAGATGAGGACTTAAAACAATTGATAAAAGATGCCCAAGAAAATGGACAAAAACCTAATTACTCTCTATCACAAATAGGAGAAATATATTGTGTGACAAAACGAGTGAAAAAGGATGGGGAACACCCTTTCCTGGTCTCCTGCAGTTGCCAGGATCTTCAGTCAAATGCTTCATCCCCTTATTGTATTATTGATATCAACCTTCTTGCTTCTCATCCTGGTAATTGTATTATCTATTAAAATTTGAGTCATTGTGAAACAATCAGCCCATGAGTCACCTGCACAAAATCACATCCAACTGCACAGCTGTCACTGGAATATTGTGAGGTTCCAGTGAGGTGACAGATAAGGCCGCAGAAAAGAAATAAAAGAAATAAAAGAAATAAAAGAAATAAAAGAAATAAAAACCCCTCCTGATGGTTTCCTGGAAAACCCCAGCACCCAGGGAGACATTCCCAGAAACTGCTAAAAGGGTTAAAACCAAGATATGGAGATTTCCTTCTGCCCCTTTTGATGTGACACCACACACTTGGTGTGTCCCTGCAGGGATGCTGTGGGGGCAGGAACTGGGTTAAACCACAAACCCCAGGTCACTCCTGGGTTTACACGGAGAGAGCTCAAAGCTCACCCTGGGCTGAGGAAAACACACCCACAGGGTGGTCCTGCCCAGTCACACTCAACAACCACAGCTCCTCCTGCTCTCCAGTATAAAAGAATATAAAGTAGAAGATAAAAGAATATAAAATAGAAGATAAAAAGAAGCCTGTCTGTAAATCAAGGAAATCAACTTATGCTCAACTTTGATAGGGACAAAAGCAACTGACAACAAGAACTTCATAATGACTTCAGGAATTTACCTAAAAATCTTTCTTGAAGTAGCAGAGCCCATCACCGAAATGGTGACCTTACCCCAGGGTTTGGGTCTAAATACTGAGATGTTTTTCTTCTGGCAATAATAATAATAATAATAAAAATAATAATAAAAATTAAAAAAGTGATAGTGTTGCGTCCATGTTGCATCACTGCTCACCAAGGACAACCCCAAGGGGAGATAATGAGAATACAACGAGAACCAAGGGAGAGATAACGAGGGGACAGCACAGTCCTGGGAGCAAGTTGTTTCTGCCTTGGAACTGGGAACAGATTATCATTCCATAGGATAACGGGGGAGAGGGACTGGGCACGTGGACAGAAGGTCAGGCCATGGCTGTGGGGGCTGGCAAGGCAGAGGAAAAACAACTGAATCTGTATTTAACAGTAAAAATGGCATTGCTAAAAAATGACCCTGGGAGCAGCAGCTGGGGAAGGGCAGGGTCAAAGCAGGGAACATCACGAGGCAGAGGAGCCAGGTGGAATGTCAGGAACGAAGCAATGGAGGCTGAGCAGTGAATCCTCCCTGACTGCGAGAGCTGCAGGACAAAGAATGAAGGAAACTCCTGGCTGGAAAGCTTTGGGATGATCTCAGCACCTTCATCCTCACTGAGCACCAAAGGACACTCTGGGAAGCCTCTCTGGCCTTTGAGAGCAAACCCAGGCAGGAGCTTGGCCAGGAACTCCACAAAACCTGGAATTCTCAGACAAAAAAGTGGAACTCAACGGAAAATTTACTAAAGAAAAACCACCAGGGTAATTTATGGTGTATAAAAGGCACTCTTGCCTTGCCAGGGCTGGGGGAGGCAGGGCAGGTCTCATCCCCTCGGGCCCCGAAGCTGTGGATGCAGCACCACAGAGAAAACGCTTTAATTCACAGCAAAGACATAAAACTGGTGCAGGAAGTGTCCAAGGCCAGGCTGGATGGGGGTTGGAACAGCCTGGGATGGTGGGAGGTGGGTGGGACTGGGTGGGCTCTGAGGTCCCTTCCAACCTGAACCATTCCAGCAGTCTGTGATTATTACGTATTTTTATTAACAAGCCGGGATAAGACCCAGGGACGTCTGCCAGTGCCACACCAACAGTGCCAAGGGGAGGGCCCAGGATGGCACATGGAATGCTGAGCGTCTCCAGCGAGCCAGGAGTTTTATGTTTGGCTTAACAGACACAGGTTCAGAGTGGGGAGTGTGAGTTCTCCCTGGAATTATCTGGAAGCAGGGGAAAATCACTGCTGTATAAAGACTGCGGCAGGATAAAACCAAGCTGGTATAAACCAGTCCTAAAAACAGCTGAAGTGAGAGCCAGGAGAAGGCTCCTGCCCACGTGGAATTCCAAGGAGCGTGGCAAGGACAGAGGAACTCACTGTGGTTCAGACCTGGTGTGGCTGAGAAGGAATTCTGTGACAATGAACCTGCTCTAACAGGGATCACCCTGGAGGCCCCTTCCAGACTCTGACCAGAGGATTCCTGAGGATTATCAGTGACTTATCTGGCGGACAGGGAAGTTCTCCAGCACAAATGGGAACTGTGCTGTGTGAGGATGGATCCCATACCCCTTGTCAGCACTGCTCCCTCATTTTCCTTTTGAGTGTCACCCAGTCAGAGCTCACCCTCGGACCCCGAGGCAGCGATTCACAGCCAGGTGTGCCCAGCAGCGGGTCCCTGTGCCTCACCTGTCCCTCAGGGCGTGGTTCCTGACCTCCTCCACGAGCTGGAAGACGCGGGCCAGCGGGGAGCGGAACACATCCACGGCCAAGAAGTTCTTCTGCCACGGGGACACGGTGGCCTTCACGAAGATCTGCTGGATGTAGGCCACGGGAGCACCCACGTACTGTGGGGGGACAGGGGCACAGTGAGGCTCTGGGCACAGGGAAGCTCCCAGCAGGGTCAGGCACAGCCTGGCACCTCTTGGGAACGGCAGCACCGGGCTGTTTGCCTTTCCCTCAGCAGAGGGGGAACACGACAGGACTAACGAGCAGAAACAGAAAGGGTGTCACTCCAAGAGGCAAAATGCCACTGATCACTTTGGCAGCTGCCAGGGGCACCCCTGTGGGAGGCAGGGGCTGCCATTCCTGCTGGCTTTGGTCCTGGAAGGGAAGGCAGAAGCAGGGACTCACTGCCTCTCGCAGACACCTCATGGTGCTGCAGACCCCCCCAGTCTGTGCTGGCAGGTGGGATTAGATGATCTTGGAGGCCTTTTCCAACCTACACGGCTCTGTGATTCCGTGTGAATCTGCTCTGCGCTCAAGTGACGTCCCTCAGAGTGGCAGAGAACCCGGGCAGCGCCGGGGGCAGCAGGGGCAGCAGGGGCAGGAACCCCCCCAGACTCACTGCCCGCCCCAGGCTGCTCCCAGCCTGCCAGCCTGGCCTCGGCCACCTCCAGGGACGGGGCAGAGCAGCCTCCTGGGCACAGCTCTGCTCCAGGAGGGCACAGTAGCACGGCAGGGATACCCAGTCCTGCTCCAGGAAGGCACAGCAGCACAGAAGGAAGGCACAGTAGCACAGCAGATCCATGCCCATCCCACAGCAGATCCATGCCCATCCCACAGCAGGAGGGCCCAGCAGATCCATGCCCATCCCACAGCAGTAGGGCCCAGCAGATCCATGCCCATCCCGCAGCAGGAGGGCCCAGCAGATCCATGCCCATCCCACAGCAGATCCATGCCCATCCCACAGCACTCACCCAGTCGGGTCTCTCGGCAGGCTCCCCGGCTGGCACGGCGCTGCCCGGTGCAGGGGGGGTGTAATCCTTGACGGGCGTGCTGAACTCCACCGGGCCCGTCCCCGGCAGCGGCAGCTTCAGCAGGGGGGAGCTGCGGACAGAGCGGGACACGCTGCGGCTGCGGCCTCGGCACGGCTTTTGAGACACGAGAGCTCAAAACACGAGCCGGCCCGGCCAGCGCGAGGTGAACTGTGCAGGACAGGCCACGCAGCCAGAGGGCTTTGGCTTTCCTGGGAACTCAGCAGTGTCTTTCTCCCTTGGAAAGGGATAACTAGAACGTGAATTCCTCCATCACCTCAGAGTTAGTTCTGCTAAAAACACCGAGCACAGCCACGGCTCAGTTATTGCAAATCCTGCACACACCCAGGACATGCAGCGCTTCCCAGGGGCTGCCTCCCTGCCCCAAACCCTTTATAATCCTCTCATTTTCCTCATTTAGATTGAAACCATTTCCAGAACTTCTCACTGACTTCATTTGTCCTCAGTGCACTTTTAAGGGCAGCAATGAGACACCAAAACAGCTTCGAAATACTGAACTTCTTGTTCCTTTGCCCCCCCAGCCTTCGGTTGAACGTAGCAGCTGTCCCACAGCGAAGGCTTTAAACTACTCAGAAGTTGAGAAACTGGTGATTCAGAGAATTTAGAAGCGGCTTGGTAACTCCAGAGACTCTCAAAAGTGGTTAAAAGCAAATCAGGACTGAAGTGGTGGGACAAGTAAAGCTGCCGACACAGAGATCCCTCGATGAGCTGGGACTGTCAGCCCTGAAATGAACTGCAGAACAACCTGGGTCTTTTCATGGCCTTACGATTCCTGATATATTTTCCTGTTTATAGGTGAATTTTCTGGCAATATTTCCAGAACAAATATAAAGGCTTTGGAATTGTTTTCATGCAATGTTCTGCCCACTTCATTAGGGCTCAGTTTGGATCATCAAAGGCCAGGGAGGAACAAGCAACGAGGCCTCAGAGTGAACAACAAACAGCCAAAAAAAGAACAATGAAATCAGAAGCAAAGCTTGTCAGATTTGCTCTTTATTAGTCTGACAGAAACACAACATCTACTGATTATCATTTCCTTGTGGAATGGGAGGGAGGAGAAAAAGGAATAATAAAATACAAAAATCAAATCCAGGGATAAACAAAGCACAGAGACTGACCAGACTGAGGGGGAATGATTGTTTCCCTGAATGATTTCAGTGCTGGTGAGTGTGTCCCAAGGAAACACTCGAGATTCACACCCCGTGTTTCTGCAGAGGGGGATCCCCCGAGTCACCTGCGGGTTTGGAGGGGTCACAACAAACACCTCCCGTGGAACTGGAGTCGTTTAAAATCAGAGAGACTGAGCACCAACAGCCAGAGCCCTGCAGGAACAGTGTGGGGCACACCTGGAGCAGCACAGGCTGGGGAT